TTTATTGAAATAAAAGTTGCAGATGTTTACAAGGCGAACTGCGGCCAAAAACAGCAGCTAACAAACAAAAACAAGTCAAAAGTTGCAGATATTCCGGATTTACATAGGTTCTCAAAAGTAAATATCTTCTGAAAACAAAATTCTTCCAGTTTGGCTTACGTCCGGCACTTGCGAAACGGGTCGACCCTGCTTTTGTTCACCCCTTCAATTTCTTAAATTTCAATGTTTTCCAATCTATTTTCTTTGTAGATCTCTTAAAGATCTTCCTCACACTCCGGATAGGTTTCACTCCCTTTTCCGAGGAAACACTCCTTATTCAACCATGTAGAATCCCTCCCTTTTCGCAGAGTCAGTGGGACATCCTTGAAGTCATTCACGTTTGCCCAACTTACCATGCATACTGATTCTATATAGGCATATCCTAATTGCAAGAGCTCATTGATGAACACTGTGTGGGACTTGAGAAATCACTGACTTGGGTGCACGTGCATTTAAATGCTTCAACGTTCAGTGCGGATGTGTGTCCGTTGGGTAAACAAAACGAATCGTTACTGTCGAGCACTTTGCCCTTATGATTTTCTTTGTGGGAAACTTCATACGATGTCGTTCCCCTAAATACCATTCGTACCGAACTTTTTTCGATATTTTTACTTTTTGCGGACATTGCGCAATCGAGCAATCATAATAGGACCTTGAATGGTCGCTAAAAATGGCAGTGAATGTGATTTTCAGTTCTTTCGTTGGACGTACGCTCAACTGCACATTACCTATCGTTCACTTTTTTGTTTCTTTACCAAGCACACCTGCCATTACTATTTCAGTCTTTCTTTTTCTATCTTTACCTTGACTCCAACTAGCTCGTCTATCGTTTATTTCCCTGCGTCACTTTCAGTCTTTGTTGCTTTGCTTCCACGTTCGGTTCGTTCCCACACTCCGAGCTCGTTATTGATGCGCAACTTTCATTCGTGACCTTATCGGCATGGACCACGAATTTTTGGCTTGCGGCTACATTCGATCAGTAACCAGCCAGGCGTCTGAAAAATGAAAGTCGTAAATATCATTTTTGATTCCATAGCTCCTTTACCTTCCCAATGGAACTTATGGTTAGTACCGTCTAGTTGACCCTGGGTAGAATGGCAGGTCGCGTTGGCTGAGCGGGTTCTAATTTTGAAGCAGTACCTCGAGATCAGCGTAGAGCGTCACCATCAGACAAATTTAGAAAATCGGGAAGGCCTCCTGTGGGATTTCCATACAACCCTCTCACCCCCTCCCTTCCCCACCCCAGTGATCGATGGTAACCATAGTACATAGCTGGAACTGACCATCTCAATCCTACCCACACTGTCGCAGCGAGGGAAGGCCAAGCATGGTCAGTATACCATATGCAGCAGGAAGGGGGAGATCTGGAAGTTAATTTCGGCCTTTTTCATAGGAGGAATTGTATAGCGAAATCCCAAGAAGAACTTCCTTTAACCCATTCGTGACAATGGCAGCCACCGGTGGCTGACAAAGATCTCACTTGTACAATGGTATCCACCGGTGGCTGCCGTGTTTCAAATGGAATTTGGAAAGTTTTCTTTCCTGAAAAGAATCTTCATACCCTCATTCATCTATGCCAGCCTTGGGCACGGGGAATCTCCATCCACTCAAATTTTATTGAAGAAAAATCTCCTGACTCTCCTGCTAATGCGCAAACCGGCGCGGTCGCGAATGGGTTAAAAAAAGCGATCCCTTCCTCTGTCACCATCATGGCATAAAATTTTTGAACCCTAGCAATGACCTGCCCAGAAAAATCGTTGATGCTTTTTCCCTCATTGGGATTCAGTCCCATGGACGGTTCGACCCAGTTGGGATGCGGCCCGTCCAGAAACCATGGCGATATGACGATACCTTTGGTCTGTCCGTTGCGTTTGAGGATCGGTCATGGTTGTACAGAAGGGCGATTCGCTTCTGACGTGCCTAATGTCACTTGGAGTCTTTCCAAAAAACTTTTGCAACTGTCTGGGTTGACGCATCCACGACAGCCCGTTCCTCGGCATTTTTTGAATGTTTTTTAAAGCAGTGCTACTTCTTCAATTGATTTCGTTACTAGTGGTAGAAAAAATATTTTCTGGATCCGATGGTGTAGACGAACTGCTTTATATTGTTGAAAAACTACTGCTTTATACTATTGAAAAACTACTAAGTAACTCCGAACAAAGCGCTGGTGTGAGAATTTCTAAGATTGCAAAACTACCTCATGGAAGTGGAGAATAAGATGTGTATTGCCGCCAGACTAATCCGTAAAACAGTAGCAGTGGTGAATCAGACTTATGATTAATGAAATCATTCGGCTTTCAGTGCTTCGTCATTGATGCATTCACGATTGTTAGCCCGAAGTGTGGGTAATGTGTCGATGGCGGCATCTGGAGCTGAAGGCGAAGTTACAGCAGCGTCACGATTACAGAATACCATCGACATGCTGAAGAAAGCCAGGTGAGTGGAAAACTGTTGACATTTTAATCTGATAGCGCAGATTGAAGAAAACTATTGGACGATATCCATGAATTACCACTATCTATTATTTTTATGTGGGACAGCGTGATTCAATATTGAATCACGCTGTCCCATAAGGCTCGCTTTTCGCTTTTCGAAGCTCCAAATGAAAAAAACCTGAAACGACTCTAGTTGTTTCGCATAGCGGAAGCATTTAGAAATGTGACGTAAACACACATATGCAGACACGTGTAGAAATATAAAAAATCTCAATGGAACTTGCGAAAAAAGGGATGGGCGTGATCCGATGAGTCCTTATGTGGCCTGTAAAGTGTGCTCTGACATCGGATCATCTTGTCATCTATGTGTTGACATGGCTTGGACGCGCTACCCTAGCGAACAAATCATTCGAAAGCAACTTTATCTGATGTTGAGTAGCTGCGTGACACCCATTACATATAGTTTACTTATTCATGGATGATTCCTGCATTAAGATCTCCAAGAGAATGACGTGGAGATTTTTCAAAAGCATGCATGAGTAATAGTTTTATTATCGATTTTCAGCAATCCCGACTTGACTCAATGCTCCCTTTACGACGATCCCGGAAGTCCATGTGGTGAAAAAATGCGACGACGTGGAGCTGTTCAGAAAAAGGTATATTATGGAGTGAATTGGTGGATTCTCAGTTACTTAGGCGTTGCTACATGTGGCTCAATTAGTGACAGGGTAAACTGCTCCTATTTCCAAGTCCCTGAAGTAAATCTCATAGTTCATCCAACCAATGCCCTTAGAATTCTTGAAGATGTTTTTATTGGCATTTCGGCAGGGATCCCTTTTTACCAGAATTGGAGGGTGTCTAAATTGGAGAAGCGCTCTGGAGATTGCTTCTTTGTGTTGGTGCGAATGGAAAAATTCCCGGCCGCGTCTAAGTTGGTAGGAATTTTTTAGATAACCCAAAACGGGTCGCTAATGAATAGACTTAGGGTTAAAAGGGGGGGGACCACCTAATAGAGTCAGCTACCAGCATAATTGTATCTCTCCATCCGCTGGCTCGAATTTGCTCAGCCTGGTCTTAGGATTTCTAGGGCACAGCATCGAAAGATACACTAGAGACGGCCTCAATACGTTGTCGCAGATGATTGAAAGGTTCCCATGTGGGAAATGTGTCGATTTAGGTTGAACGCTATCATCCTCGACATCGAACCGCCCGAAACCAAACCAGCGAGGAGAGTGACAGCAACGGCAGTGACGCAAGCCCTCTGAATCAGAGCTTGAATCGACGGCTACTGTCGTCTGGCAATAACAGGTATTCATTGTAGTTTGTTATTCCTTTATTCAATCAACTATTATTCGAAGATCTGAACCTTTATCAAAAAGGGAAAAGTGTCTAATAATTAATGTTGGTATCAGAGTGATACTACCAAGACAGTTTAGAAACTGATTTCTTGAAAGGTTCCGGTCTGGCTTACTCCCAATCTCGTGGCGTAATGAAAACCTGCTTCGGAAAACCTGTGTCCACCGACGAAATAAATCCCTAGTCTGCTTTTTGATAAGCTTGTGGCCATTACCGTCATGTTGTTAAGGCTCAATGGTGTGGCATTTTTCCCTCGCTCATGAGCAGTGAAACTTCGGTGTGTGACAAAGATAGGAATCGATTGATGGGCTGAAATCTATGTGTAGTGGAAGGTTCCGGGAAAATGTTTTGCCAATGAATTCGTTTCGTAACCGTTTGATAGCTTCTTACACCTCTAGAGCGTTCTAAAGCCCACTTCATCCTCCCAAGCTTTCTGTCTGTTTTGGGTCAGTTCGGGCGCAGAATATAAAATTACGTGTTAAATTTGTCCTGCGTAAGTTAACCCATTTATCTGGTTAAGAGGAAAATGTGTTCCCTAAAAATAGTTATTCTTTTCGATTCTCATGCGTTTAGGTCAGTCTCCGCGGTAGAGACATCAGGTCGGCTTGGTGGTATGGCTTCTAGACGACTGTTCGACCAACAACGATATGGTGCCGCTCCATCGTCCACCACTACGGCTTCTCCAAGGAGAACTCAAAACTATTTGGCACAAAAAATGGCTGGGTAAGAATTTGTTTTCGTTTTTTTTCACTTTTTTCTCCATTTAATTGAATTGAAAGAGGCGAGAAATCTTCATGAAGATCTCACTGCGATGCAGACTTACTGAAAGGATGAAGTCTTTTGAAGATCGCTATCTTGTGTTTCTTTCTCGCATTCCTACGCTGCTTGAGATTCCGACTGAACTGATTTTTGCAAGAGAATGCCTTTGTTCCGAGTCAAATGAACCAGACATCTTTTGTGAGAAAAACTTCCAGGGAAAAGGTGAATTAGTTTGGGCCCCACGATTTTGATGTGGTAATGTTGAGGAAAGTGAGGTGTTGTTCATTTAAACAAGCGGACAAAAATATTTGCCAGAATTCTGCCCCTCGCATTGTTTTTCGTCCTTGACCGATTCACTTCGAATTTTGAGGCGAGTTGCTTCGAATTTTGATGTCATGTAGCGGTTATGGGTGTCATGATTTCGGATATTGCTACTCTCTGAGAGCAGCTCTCAAAATCACAAATAAATGAAATGTTCCGCAAAAATGTTAGGTTATGAATAAAACTTTCGCCTTAGTCGGGATTCGAACCCGCACCTCTCGCTTACCGGGCAAGTGCCTTACAATGAGTGCTGATAAGCTATGGTAAATATACCATGGAAAGCTGAGTTACGCCAAAACGGTGCTCTGGTGCGTAGCTTGTAACGCACTTCAAAGGCATGAGTTCGGGATTGAATGATGCGTTATTTTGTTCAAAAATTAGGCAAGGGGTGCAATGAGGAACATTAGTGAGGAGAAAAAGCAAAAAGCACCATAGAAAACACTAAATTTCCCTTAGGAGGCCGGCCGTAGTACGACGGAGAGACACAGCGCTGCGAGGAGAGGAGAACGCGAGATAGTACATCGGACGAGCAGCCGCATGCCGTGGTTGGTGACGATGGCAGCACGGCAGCACAGAAGGCTTAACCCTACCGCCGTTGCTTCGCACTTTTAAGTCGCGCAGTATCGCCTCCCATGCACTTGGGGACCTCTCTTTCTCACTCTTGGAGGGACTGGATCTTGGTTCCTAATCCCGACTCGTGGCGACTCGTGACTTCAAGCGAGAGGTACCGGTTCGAGCCCCAAGTGGGGCGAAAGTTTTGTTCATAACCCAGTATTCTTGTGAAAAATTGCAACGCGAACTGCGGTGTTAAAACAGCGTAGCGAACAAAATGGGTTGAAAATTAATAAGTGAAATGTTCAGTTAATCCGGGCGAGAGTCCCATAGGCAGCGGAAAACCCTGTGATGCTTCTGTACTTGAAATGCCATTATATAAGTATGTAAGGCGGCTACTTTATCTGGCAGCACTTGCACCATTGCCCCAACATGGCAACCAAAAACGGTCTTGCGTGCACAAGGGTTTATCCAATATTTGGATGAAACATTTATTAAGTCGATGATGAGTCGATCCCGATTATTCAAATTAGCCGATTGTGTAACCACGAACGAATGTTTGGAGTATTTGAACAATTGACCGGCGATCAAACCTGTATTGTTTGCCGACATTCAAGATGGAAGTGTTGCTCAGTATCCACCCACATACCCTGAAATCAACCACTAGCATGAAGCTCAATTTCGCTTAGCATGCTTGACTTTACAAAATAACTTTGGTGCTATACAAGTAGGGTGGGCACGCCGCATTTTTTGAACAGAAATGTATGTAAGTGGGACTGCTGCCCGCTACTATACTGTCACGAGAATCGGGGAATTCGTGAGCCAGGGGGAGTGTAGCCAATCTAGGGGGTGGGGGGGGGCAGGCTTGACATGCGTGAAAAGCTGGGCGTGCCCACCCCACTTGTATAGAGTATGAACTTCTTGTGACCGTTCTGAAAATTCTGACGGAGTAGAGACCCATAGTCATTGGTCTTCATTAATCAGTTCATTGTCGCGATATAATCAGGTGAACTTCCAGGCAGGTTAACTAGTTGTAGAAAGAGACTGTGAACTGCACTCAATCCTTGATTGCTCTTTCCTGCCCCTCCCTCTTCTAATCTTTCAGATGTTTTCGTTGTTTTGCAATGGAGATCGCTGTCTCTTCGTGTTTCACGGGTTATCAGCAGTATTAGAGAGTTATCGAATGCGAAGATCTGCCAATCACGCCATGTCAGCGGACTAGTTTTTTCACCGTAATAGCTGCTCTGTGATAACCAACGAACGGCTGTTGACTATTGCGCTTCGATCGTTATTGCACAAGTGATAGTTTTTATTTCGATCATAAGCCACTATTTGGACCACCGTTAATGTTCTGAGTCCATCGTACCTGGTAGCGGTCTCCTCTTGTCCGGCATGTAGTGAAAACTACCGCGTCTATAGGCCATTTTTACTTCTGTAAAGATGGCCAAGGCAATAATATTGAAACTTGAGTGACAAACGTCTACCGTCCAAATGACAATTTGGCCCTGAAAGCTTGTATTTCCGCCGAATGTCTTGAAATTCTTCACTCTTCGTTCCTGTACCAAAGGTATTGATGAGAATTCCCAAGCAGTTCTCCGTTTTTACGCTTCGGCCATGGATTAACAAATTTGATGGAAGCTTCTTCTGAAAGGCGAAATGAGAGAGCAACATTTTGGCGTTATGTTAGCCGGGTGAGCACGCCGATTTTTGAGTAGAAGGAACTTCGGGTAAAATGGTATTGTTACCCACCACCTCTTTTTTCCTCAACGCTTAAGCCTAAGCATGTTATTTGGGTAATGTCAAAAATCCGCGTGCCCTTCCAAACTCCACAAAGCAGCCTCGCCATTTCTGTTTCCAAATCATTGGTCTTTACATCCCATTTCTGAATACGCTGCTGAGTTATGTGTCACCCAAATGCTTCGTGATCGCCCCATTGGGTAGGCGCCCATGGGATCATTGATTCTAGCCAGCCATGGACGTACGTGGATGCTAGCAGTGTTGCAATCTTCTTGAAATCCTTGCTAAGTAATGCAGGCAATTAGCCGGAGGCTTCTGCCTTTTTCTACTTGGTCAATGTTCTGCTTGATTTCTACCTTCTGCCGCTTTTGACAAACGTTTATTGTGCGCAAGCGAAGGTTCAATGCAAATATTTCAAATGCGATTTTGTTGCCCATGATCGGGTTTATGGCCATTGACTGTGTTGGCTCTCACGGACGATCGTGCCACCTTCTGCCTTTTTTGGTTCTGCAACGTTTATTGAGCAGACTATTTTAACTCCCACGGTTGATGTGAGCTAATAGCGTTGTCTGGGTTTGTGCGCTGCTCCTTTGATCAGTCTTGACTTTCTGCGAATGGAGTCCTTCTGGGATTTCTGACCTGTATTACTCTATAATTTGGATGGATCTTGGTGGTTCATTGCCACAGCAATGGTCTGATTTCTGTATCCTACAAAATAGTTGTGGTGCGCAAAGATTAGACCCATTTGATCAGGCCCTTACCAAATACGCTAGTTTTGTTAAAGGAATCTTGCGCGGAAAAATCATGATTCTATTTCAGCCATAAATCACTGGCTTGAGACTCATTATCCACGATAATAGTGAAAAGAACTGAAGTATTGCTTTCGTTTTGATTAGAAATTCGAAAACTCGAAAAGGCTGCTACGCGTTCGAATTGCCCACGGACGTCTTTCACGAATGCTGGCGACGGGGATGCTCAAACTTGGTTCTTGGAGTGCATTCACTAGAAGCTCTTTCTGGCCTTCTGCTTCGTTGCATTCACATCTTACTTACACTTCTACTCCATCCTATTCCATCGATCGATTTGTCTCCACTCTCCGAAATCGCGCGCTTTAACCCGATTCTCTCATTGCGTCGCCTGGTACGTAGCCGGCCAAACGCCGTCTTCTTTCCATGCCTCGCCTGGCTCTGCCTCCTGGTCCTTCGATGGTCCATAACGTGTAGTTTTTGTACGTTTGTTTCTCTTCAGAAACCGAATCTTCATGCGTGAAACTTTGTGTGCTATTTCCAGTGATCACAACTGACATATTCATGTTAGGAAAGAGTGCAAGAATTTTCCGCGCAAGATTCCTTTAAAGGCAGTGGCTACACATATTTGCCAGTGCATCAAAAGAGTGCTTATGCCTCAGTAAAGAGAGGCAAGGCTGCCAAGAAAAAGATGTTTTGCGTTTTCGCTCTGACTGGCGCTCTGCTGGCAACCTGGTTAGGTTATGGATCCAACTTAGCCCCGAATCCAAATTAGCCCTTCTTCTGGGTAATTTCGTAAATACTAATGATTTCATTTAATATCCACCGCATTTCATGCTAAACGGCCAATTTGTTCTTATCCTGTCGTGTTGTTTCTTTTATCAGCAGATACTAAACTAAAAACTATGGTTTGAGCCGTAAACTCGTCCAAAATCGACAATCATCATGAATGTTCACATTTCGTACTTTAGATAGTATCCTTCTATTTATAAAGCGCTAACTTTGTGTGTCGGTTTGTATGTCTGTATGTGTGTGTGTATGTATGTATGTATGTATGTATGTATGTATGTATGTATGTATGTGTGTCCGTCCGCAAAATGAAGTGAGTGAGAAGGAAGCTCATGGGATAAACAAACCGCTAACAAATCGGGTAGCTTACAGGATTTGAGATATCAATGTTTTGTAGCAGGATAGTTGTGATAACACTCTTAGGGCTATATAAACACCTGCTTAGCACACTTCCGTTCATTCCACATGGTGCTGCAGTGGCAGCTGGAGGGCAGTGGAGAGAGGAAGGGAGGATGAGGAAGGGAAGCGAAAAATCTACCGTCATATCATGATTGTGTCCCTTCTACTGTATGAAACACCATTGTGTTGCATACGCGTCACTTCCAGGAGGTGTTGGTGTCACAGGAGGAAGGGACCATAGCGGAGGATAGAAAGCTTGCGCAGGAAAGGAAGGTCCCGGCGGTTGACGGGGGACTAATCTGGTTAATATTCTAACTACGTAATTTGGCACTATTCTTTCATATTCGCGAAATCAAATTCGTTGCAATCGTTACCTTTAAGGCTTAAGACCGTAATTTAAAACTCACTTTTGGAATTTGCCCCTCTGAAAATGTTCTACGGAGGAGGAAATCTATGCTTCTGGAGAAATAGTACTTTTTATACTGGCCCATGTCGCTTTTACTTACACTTATGGGAAGCCTTTGCCAGAGGTCCTCTAACAGGAGGCTTTCAAAGTTGCTGCTTTGTAAATGTTGTGAAATGATGACATTTTCAGTGAAGATATGGTCGGTCCCGATCTTGGCAGTGATGATTCGCCGCGATCGTCGGTGAATTCGCATGAATGGGCTGCACTGCTGGAGGATGACGCCGCAAAGTCACACGTGAGTGGTTATATATTCCTCAATTTTTTGCCATCCCGCTTTCGTTAGGAAATTATGATGCTCGGAAGAACTCAAAAGGGCGATTTGTGACTACCACAGAAATCATTTTGGCCACATCGCTCAACACGAGTTCCGTCTTAAAGCTCTCATCACATTCTTTGTTGTACACGTATTAGCGCACATCTCCAATTACGCGAAACTTTTTCAGAACTTCTGCGTCACGCCCAGGATTGCTATGAAAAACTGCAAGTGTACGTGGACAAGGCTGTACAGGCTCGAATGATGGTAAGCGTTTGTTTGCCGTAATACTTTTCGTCTAGAAAATTCATTGGGTCAACAAAATCATGAGGGTCTCACTTTTGAATTCGATCGCAGGCCGTGGAAAGGACCTAAAGTGGACATAAAATTGATCAAAAAAGCGATGCAGTGCACATCATGCACGAAGTAGTAACGGAGTGTTTTCATAGTTGGTGATCGTACATGGCGAATGAGCGATCAGAAACGACCTGAAAACGTTTCTGTTAATATTCTATAAGTATTTTTCAATTTTTTAAATTATATTTTCAAATGTAAATTCTATTAAACTGAGTAATGTGATGAATTTAGGCAGTAAACGATGAATGACTAAAGGTAACACGCGCTTTCAAAAAGAGCCAGTTTCTCTGCCACTAATGAAGTTTAGCTGTGACGGGCTACGTGGGATGACGACCCTGCCGCAATTCAGCTAAATTTACTACTGTTATTTCGGGGCTTTTTTTTCGAAGTTGTGCTTCACGAGGTGAACCTGAATTATTTTGTAATTTGGCTCGATTTTTAGAACTCTTAAAATTCCAGGTGGACGAATCTTCGATGTCTGCGGAGCACAAGCGCATTGCGATGGCACAGATGGAGAAAATGACCCAGAAGATTGTGGAAAAGTTAATACCGGGAGCAAGGTCAGTACTGAATTTGAAGGAGGGAATATGAGTTCACGGCAGCTGAAAGATTTAGATAGCTGTGACAATTAGCGAAGGAGTTCGAAATGTGAAAATAAGGTTGGTCCAAATCGCAAGGAAACAAAGAGACTGATTCTTGTCAAACTCTCTAACATGCTTAAAGGAATCTTCCACGGACCATGGACCAGTGGGCGGGACCGGAAGTTTTTGTGACGAAATGCATGGTAGGTACGGATCCACGTGTCGAACGCACGAACGTGAACAGGATTCACTTCAAACCTTCCCATGAACGTGGATCCGTACCTACCATGCATTTCGTCGCAAAACCACTTCCGGTCCCGCCCACTGGTCCATGGTCCGTGGAAGATTCCTTTAATCATGGTTTTTGCTTTACAGAACACTCAAAACTATTCTTGAAATTCGCACTGTCCCCTACTTTAGTGAGGTCTCTTAGTTGGTCAGCTGCCTTAAACTTTCCGATACCCACCAAAATCCTTATATCTCAAATCTCGTCGGCGTCACAGGCCTTCCATTGAATCTTCCTAGATTCTCTTCTGCAAAAGTTTCGTCGTTCTTTATTGACTCAATATAATTTTTACACCCCCCCCCCCGCTTCTAGTTCTAATTCTGGTTTCGTGGCATCATCACGTCGCGTTCCCGCTCATTGACATTGCCGACCTACACTGTCCTTCTGTGAGCCGGTCACGAACGTAAAATAGCACACTCGTAGTCCACACCTGGCAATTGCAGAACGAAATATTGGTTTATGAAGCACATAGGTGATTAGTTTTAACGACCGTGTCCACGTGGTTGGCTTAATGTCACAGGATATTAATGGGAAATATGGCGACGGTCATGAGAAAATCGATATCGTGTATACTTCTCGATATTATTGATTGTCTGATGCCACGTCTGGATTACCAAGTCTGCATTTTACGGCTCATCTCGGTGCCAGAAACAAAGTGTACATCGTTGATTGAGCACGGGGTTGCTCAGCTTTGAGGTCCATTATTGATCGATTTTCAGGTCACCCAGTTCAATCGATGATGCCAATGGTAATGATTACACACCCATCAAAAGTCCACATATCTACAGCACTGTTAAGACTAGCTTTCGTCAGTAGTGTCTAGAAGTGTACCAAGCCAAGGAGTACTGCAGATGACATCTCGACATTCCACGACCGCTTTGTTTCACTTTTTCACATGTGTCCCACGTCCCCGTCCTGTAATCCCTGTCATGGATCTTGTTTATACATACACTAATTTAATCGATATTTGGCAATTTATTGCACCTTTATTGATGATTGATCGATTAGCAGCCATGATCATAGCGTGCGCGTGTTGCCTTACTATGAATGCTCATTTGCCTGTACACGTATATTTTTAATGTGCATATAATCGCAAAGTTTTATGTGACCCTTATCTCGCTTTCACATCGATCAATAATCCCTGTATGTCATGTGTTTGTGGTCGTCAATAATCCGAATTGATCACAATAGTTGTCTGTATTCGCTAACTAAGCTTGAATAATTTTTGAGCACTTTAGAATGTTTTCCTCTTTTCTTCCTGCATTTTTCGTTTCTAATTTTAGCATGCGGTTTTAACAGAGAATTTTTCATGTACAATAAATATTGATTATGCTTCTTGATTGGGATTGCTTCTTGGAACTCACAGTTGTATCGTCGACACCTTCGAGATATGTCTGAGGCTTGGAGCATGAAATGCTAAGGTACCACAAAAAATACAATCATGACGTCTCGGTAGCAGGGTATACCTGGGGTTATGCCTAAGTACATCAATGAATGAGTAGTGATCTGGTCTAAAAAAAGGGTAACTACTTTAGGTTGAGTAGCAGTTCACCGTAGGTTTTCTGGATTATTAGGAACACCCGCAAAATTGCGCCTGTCCCACGCGAGGAGAAAGCATAAATGCATGCTGTCGCGAATTGCGAGGATCGCTATGAGGGAATCCCCGGGCAGGGTCGGTCCTATCGTTGTTACTTTCTGAAAAATTTTTACGACCCCCCTCCCCCAAGGTGGATTTGATACGACCCCCTTTTCGACCCTCGACCACCATATTCCTCG